CACCAAAGTTTTTTCTTTGTTATGTTTTCCATTAAAATCAATTGATACCCAACAAAATGCATTTTAAATAATTGTTCAGACACACAACCACAGATCTTGGTGCGCATTCATTTGCTTTATGACAAAGTATTGACATTCAATACAAAGTACACGGTACCGCACGTTAAAGCATACAACACACACGCACATTTTGATGCTGTTCCCTTGATTTCAACAGAAAATGCATCAGGGGGAAAACACTTAGGTGTAAATGGCACCTTAAACACTCTGCTCTTGTTCAGTCACCTTGAAACTTGTACAATGCCTGCAGGAAGAAGTATAGGTGATTGCAACAAAAAAGTTATGTCATTAATGGACCGACCAGTGGGAGAAGCAGTGCTGAATAAGGGCTAGATATAAGTACCATCTTGTATTTTTATCCCCCAGGATGTCTAGCCCACCATAGAACCTGCACAGCTACCTGAGAGCCCACACACCCCACCATAGAACCTGCACAGCTACCTGAGAGCCCACACACCCCACCATAGAACCTGCACAGCCCACCTGAGAACCTCCATTGGAGACATCAGGCCGGCATATTATTCTGCATTGCTGTATAATAAATTGCTGGGATTTGTAGTCCTCTATGGCCGGTTACCATTCGGCATTGCTGTATAATGTATCGCTGGGATTTGTAGTTCTCTCTAGCTCATGGTATTGTTCTGCATTGCTGTATAATGTATTGCTGGGATTTATAGTCCCTCTACAGCTAGGAGTCAGTGACAGAACTATCAGAGGCACAGCGTTTACAGCTGGGAGTGGGCACTGGCACTTCACCACTGTCCTAAAATCATTAGTCTGTATTGTTTTAGGAAAAATGACACATGACACTCTAAAAACAAACAGGTATCGGTAATTGGTATCGGCAAGTACTTGAGGAAAAGTCTCAGTACTTGGTCTGGAAAAAATAGTATCGGTGCATCCATAACAACCAAGTGCTCCAGAGGCAGCTGTATGCCATTGTTCAGAGTCATCTGATTGCAACAAAATTTTGACATGCCTGTGTAATGAGCATTGGCTGGACTGCTTATGGCCTCCAGCCAGAGTCATTTGACAGGGTAACATCACAACAGAGCAAATGGGACACAGGGATAGAGCATTGTCACCCCATGACAGGTAGTGCCTGAACAAGGACCTTCTTGGCAGATTACCAGGTATTATTTTAATCTAAACTGCAGATTTAAAAATATTAAAAATGAGTTCTAAATTACATTAACATGTTAAGGGTTATAAAAAAAAATTCTGATCCGGTTTAAAAGGTACTTTACGGTGCCAATATTTTATTCATATCGCTATTGATTTTACATTTTCATAACATTACAAAAAAAAAAATGTCAAACTACATCAGTAGTCTACAAACTGCCCAGGATGTGGCCCTTTGAATGTGTTTAACTGGTCCTTAAGGCACAATTTCTGCCACTGACATTTATGGTGGGGCACAATTCCCTTCACTGACACCATTAATGGGGCACTATCTTTCCCAATGAGGGGGCACTTTTCCAACTTCTGGCATAAACAATGTGGTACAAGTCAATCCCACTGGCACCAATGCCTTGGTACTATTCCTCCTGTTGACATCAAGAATGGGGCACTATTTCTACCATCAATAACGAGGCATTATTCATCCCTCCCACTGACCACAGGCACTGAACCATTTTTACACCACCTGGCCACCAACTCTAGAACATTTTCTACTCCTACAGGCCACAGTCTGGCCCCTCTAAAGTCTTAAGGACAGTGAACTGGCCCCTAATTTGAAATGTTTAAGAACCCCTGCACTAAACTAGAATACATTTTTAGAAGTTTTAACTATATCATAATATCCGCAATTATCCCCCATTCTGATAACCACCTTTTCTACTATATATTGTATAATCAAAATAAACATTATTGAAATAGCTTAAGGCAGCAATAAATATTTTACTGGCACCAAAGAAAAATTAAATATGTATATCCTGAACATGTTTTGAATTTAATTAAACTTCTTTGTAGTTCTATGTAGTTTGGAGAGCGGAATCAAAGCTTTGCGAGGAGAAACTAAAGACAGTTATAATAAACACTTGTCGAGTGACTATTAATCATACAAGCACTGGAAACATTACCCGTGTTCTAGTACATGCAAGATTTGCCGATCTCCAAATACTAAGGGTTAAAGCCATTGGCTACTGACAGCTACAGTTTAATAGCATGACACTTATTTAAAGGTGAATATTGCCATCTGCTGGTGGCTTACTTTCAAAGCTATTGGAAACATATCTTTGGAATACCTTTGGGGATTTCTACTTTTGATAAAATTAACATAAAATTGGGCATGAGGCTCTGTGTGAATGCTAATGTTTAAGCAAACAAACACAGGATTGAACAATGTACAGGATATACAGTGCATATAAAAAGTCTACACACCCCTGCCAGGTTTTTGAGACGTAAAAAAAGATTTATTCTTTGCCACCTTTAATGTGACCTATTAATCTGTGAAATTCAATACAAAACAAACTGAAATTATGGAAAGAGTTCCTGATAGACTTGTTTTTTTTATGCCACAAAGAAGACTCCAGTTAAGTCCTCTAGTTAAGTCCTCGAGCGATACAAGAAACCAGGAGGGGATCAGTCCAGCAGATTTCACCTATCAGTCATATTACTTATGGCTGACCCTTTAATGAGTAGCCGTGGGTTCTCTTCCCCCTCCAAAACCTCTGCTAGTCAACTGACTGGTATCTATTCCAGGATCATAAGACCATAGCTAGTCAGCTATTAAGTTTTAAAAATAGGGTCACAACATCTGTTAATATATAAAGAAACACCACCCATCTTATACATTGTCTATGTGTTTATTTACACAGTGCAGAAAAATGTCATTACATTTTACAAAACAACATAAAAACTAGTTTAAAAAAAAAAAAAACACAACATAAATGGTGCCAAATCATAGAAAAATGTCCATAGCATGGCCAGAGTGTATCGTATACAGTTAAGGACAAAGAGTACAGTTGATGTGCAAAGTTCAGGGTGCTGTCCAGCTTCTACCGAATGACACATGACCCAGAGGAGATAGCATGTAATTATTGCTCATCCTGAGGTTTTTGAGGCTTAGCCACAATTTCAGGAAGACATTTCAGCACAGGAGTAGTTCACAAGATGGGACTTTTAATGTCAACGGTAAGGACCCTCACTGCGGATGGTGATCCCTGAAGCTATAGATTTATACGAAGAATGCTGTTTGAATGATAACTGACAGCAGCCAATTGAAGGCTTTAGCTGGTGTATTCAGATTTTCAGTAAACCCGTGTTTAAAAATAAACCCCTTAAAATGTACAGGAAGCACCCTACTCTGCCTTTACATACCTTTCCTTCTCCCATTTACCACCCGCCCTGATCCTGCTGATGCCATCTAGAAAATCCTAGTATTTCCAGGTAAGGGGAAACGCCACTCTCCCCCTGTCCTCCCACCACGCAGTGCTCTGAGGAGGCAATTACTAGGCCAAAATGTTGCCACATGTGCCTAGCAATGTAGAAGTACCAATCTGCGTATGATCACTACTTGCCTTGTAACAACACAATTGAGTACTGTACGTGATATTTATTTGCACTAACTGTTCATACTTAATGGCAAGATTTGCTGAGATCCTCTCTTCTTTTGGTCCAAGCAGTACTACGTGGACAGGAGAAAGAGTAGATTTCCCATCAGCTTGTCCTGAAAATAAACTATTAGTGCAAAAAAAGTATCATGTACAATACTAAACTGGAGGAATTTGCCAAGTCAGTGCAACGTCACATGGAGGATAGAAACAATGTGATAATCTAGAGGATGCAGGGCATTTGTATACATTTTAATTGCTACAGACTACAATTGCCAGTGCAGAGATTAGCAACTAATGAATGAAAACCCTAGGGTTAAATCATGGCCAGATGTTCACAGGCATCAGTGACTACATCCCACTTAATATGTAATAAGATATATGGCCTTAAAAGGAGCACTATGGAGGTGAGTGATTTCTACTCATTCTCATAGTTCGAGCCGACCTGTGACAAAGAAGCTGTCATTGATCGGCTCTATTCATCGGTAAGTGAGCAGAAACATGCTGCAGATCAGCTCACTTCCCGATCGTCTCCCTGAAGAGAGCGGTAAATATCAGTCACCCAACACACACCCCCCCGCAAGGATTCCCCCTTTCCGCTCCAATCCTCCAGCGCTGAGTGGAGGAACGAATGGGGGAAGGGGGAGGGCACCGCTGGCTCTGCCTCTAGATAGGCAGAGCCAGTTGTTACTCGCGTAGCTGGGTGAATCTCGACAATAGTGTCGGGATCCGTCCCGGCTGAGGCGCTCTTAGTATATCACGTGCAAAAGTATGCTATATACTGAGCTTTGTGTCACGGGAGGATGCTAGTATATGTCCTCCCGTGACCTAAAGAGAACTATGGGGGAAAACACCTACCCTATAGTTCTCTTGTAAGCTGGTGATACCCACTAATTATATAACTGTCAGTTTAGCCAAAATGGATATTTGAACCATTCATAGGCTTGGGCTTCTTATATCTCTCTGGGACTCCAGCAGCAAGACTTTCCCACCAAATAAACCAGGTTCTTCCCCCCAACACAGCTATCGTGAAGCCAAGCACATGAATCCCACTTAGACCACTAATTAACAGTTAAAATATGTGGGAAGTAGAAGGCAGAGAAAAAAAATAATACAAAGTGTGAGAAATTTACCAAAACTCATAAAATAACTTACATGACCAGAGTTATTTCTTCCTTTACTGTGCCTATTACACAGCATGGAAGCATCACTGAATCTGCCGCCATATTTGTAATCTAAAATAAAGGCAAAAACCAGCAGTGGGAGCAACATTTATCCTAATTACTTTATTACATATACAGAGCTATGAACTTGGGTGCTGAGATCTAACTGCAGGAGTCCATAAGACACATAAGAAGACAGTAAATGATTGCAGTCTTAATTAAGATGCAGAAATACAGAGTAGAATGGGATAAGCAAACCTTTATATCCTAAAACTGTCAAAAGCAGGAGTTACCTTAACCAATCAATGGCCAAGTGCACATATTTAAATAAAGGAACTAAGTGCCAGTACAAAAAATATCACTCAGTATAAAAATAGGTCTGAACAATTTACATTAAGCAATCCATTACAATGAATACAAATATTGGCCATTATATACATAGAATTGGTAGTAAAGGATATGCCGGACACTGCTGGCATTGGGATTTTCCACAGTTACAGAATCTCCTGCAGAATTAACTGAAGTTTTTCTAACTCCTTTGTCTGAGGCTTGGCCCACTTCTTCTTTATATATTGGATCTCTACCGTCCCAGATGCCTTGGCTAAAGCCAGACCCATCAGATTATTGTTCTTTTCTGGTTCACCGAAAACTGACATGCTCAGTACCCTGAAATGCAAAAGCAGAACAAAAAAGATGTTTCTTAAAATATGGATTAGATATTGTTGTCACAGGTCTGACATCAGCAGGGTATCATTAATTAAAATGTGGGAAACCTTTTAACTGCCTCCGGGTCGGCTGTAGTAAAAAAAAAAAACGGCCGGCCGGGAGCTCTCTAGATCTGAGCGGGCGTCTTTAGACGTCCGCTCAGACACGCCCCCTCGTGTCTGGGCGCGCGAGCGGGAAATGGCCGATATTTAAAAACAGGCAGCGATGCCTGTTAACATACAAGCGATCGCTTGTATGTTGCAACGATCGGTGCCCCTCCCCCCGTGCTGTGTGTGTGTGTCCCCGCCGTTGTCCCGCTGAACCCGGGCTCTGCTGTGCCCGGTGCGAGCCCAGAATCGCTGGTGCGCGCAATTTTAAAGCTTGACATGTTTGGCGTCTATTTACCCGACGTGTGGGCGGCCGAGACCCCCAGTCATATGTACCCCCCCGGGACGAACCCATAGGCCACCCCGCCAGAGCGGGATCGTCGCAGCCGAACCACCGGAGCGGGCCTGCATGCGATCGTCGGTCGTCACGGGGAGACTCCAAGGATCCGGGACATCCAGCCTGTCGCCCGGACAACACTTGCTAGAAGATTCCACTGAAAAAGATCAGGAAGAAGCAGGTAAGAATACCCGAAAAAAATTCTTAGCTCCTTACTCCTGACGCTAGGCAAAAAACTGGAGACTTGTCAGCTGGTGGGGGGTTTTGGCCACCGGCAGGGGCCGCCCCTAGGCTGTGATTGGTCTTTAGTTTTGTGCCTAGCGTCCTTCTCCTGCAGGTGGCGATATTACCCTACAGTACAGGATCTCCGATCTGTTCCCTGTGTCCTTCAATGAACGGGAGAGAAATACATTTTTTTTTCAAAATTTTCAGTAATTTTTCCTAATTATAGTAAAAAAATAAAACCCCCAGTGGTGATTAAATACCCCCAAAAGAAAGCTCTATCTGTCCCCAAAAAATTGTATAAAATTAATTTCAGTACAGCGTTGCATGACGGAATAAATGTCAGTCAAAGTACCGCAGCGCTGAATACTGAAAAATGGCCTGGCCAGGAAGGGGGTCTAAACACCTGGTCTTGAAGTGGTTAATTTAAAGAGCATTTTCAAGAAAAAAGTGTTCACTAGTACAACATACTTTACCAGTTCTTAGATGGGGTGGCTGTATTAATTTTCATTTTTCAGCAAGTACACACCATTATCAACTTAAAAATTGCAGGTAAAACACTGTAAAATCAAGTATTTTTAAATAGATATATATTTTTAATAAATGAATGTTTATGCACTTGCAATGTGCATTCAAGCTTGTTAAAAAATGTAGACAACAAAAGGGAACAGAGCGTCACCTCCATGTGTAAAATAGTTTATGATAAATAAAACAAGGGATATTTGTAATCACAAGCAAATGTTTTCATCACGCTTTAACAACAAACAAGAGGCCACACTGTCTGTAAACCCAACATGGTATGATGCTTCTGATGAAGGGGGCTTGCCCCTGAAACGCGTCAATCTTGGCTGACTGCGGTTGGTGGACGGTGATGTGACCGGAGGCAACCGTGTTGCATAGTCGGGGCGACACCATGTTGGGTTTACAGACAGTGTGGCCTCTTGTTTGTTGTTAAAGCGTGATGAAAACGCTTGCTTGCGAGTACAAATATCCCTTGTTTTATTTATCTTAATAAACGATTTTACACACGGAGGTGGCGCTCTGTTCCCTTTGTTTTCTATGTTCGTGGTGGAAGCCCCAGAGCCTTGGATGAGCAGCCCCTCAAGTCTGTGTGAAAAACTGTGATAAACTGTTGAAAACTTCCCTAAGCATGGCCTCCTCCCTCGTCACAGCCTTCTCCTCTTCTGGGAGTGTCTAACTACAGCCTGTGTGGGCCCAGCTCCTCTACCTCTCCACTTACCTCCCTGCATAAATGTTTATGTAGCTGCTTGGATAGGAGTGAAAGGGAATACTATAGGGTGTCCTCTACACAAGCAAGGATTTTTCAGGTTAATGACATGAATAAAATATGCTAAATGCAAATATAATTTCATGGGCAGATTTTCTTGAAATTAAAAAGGGACAAAGGAAAGAACTTGATGCAAAACCATAGGAAAGATAATATGTGTCGAATGTAAAACTTACCGGTCAGATGTTATAGATTCTTTGGCTACTGGCTGTAAGTCATTGTGTAACAAATCCCATATATGAATGGAGGATGCTGCATCCAAGACAAAAAACAATGTTGGTCTGGTCAATGACCATTGTATGGCAATAATGGACTGGCCACCAGTAGTATCATTCCACTGGATTACTGGATACTCCGCACTCATTGTGTGTAACCGTATACAGCCATCTGTGCATCCTGCCTTCAAACAGCAAAACAAAAAAAAGGTAAATAAATGTTCCTACAGAGGATGAATTGTAACAAATCTTACTCATTACATGTTTCACAAAATACAAATAGTATAAAAAGATGAATGTTATCACCCACCCTCCCATAAGCTTTGATTTCACTAAAGCTGGCAATACATGGGCAAATCAAGCCATAACAATAACTCAGAATTGGCAAGTGCTTGTAAATGCTAATAGAGGTTTCCCTTTATGACCCAGTTATAAGATTATAAGATACAATGTTTAAAAGGACGAGTACACATTACCAAAAAAAAAAAAGGGTTTGGCTTTTCTTGCATGTCCTTATCATTTAACCTCTTCCCACCTACAATTTGTTTATTAATTCCCCAGAACAATGCTCTGTGCAGAGAGCAAGTAGCCAACACTTTGCGTTGCTGCTGGCTCTGAAACCCAGCAGTCAATGAGGCCTGGGTCCCCAATGGCAATAGGGATCCTCATCAGAGTGGTTCCTGATCATGTGATCGCTATGTCTGACTATAACAAAATCAGAGCAGTAATTTTTTCAATAAAAACAATGTACCAAATTAAAGCGTTATATGCTGTTAAAATATATATATATATATCACTTAGGTATGTAAATCAGTCATGAAGTTAACCAACACATGCTGCCACTGCTAAATTTGGCTTGGGCATCTACTGCAGGCATCAATTACCTCTGTTCACAAAAAGGGTAAACTTGTTACATCATGGGTGGGAATCAAAAGTCAACACAGGCTCCACGAAGCAAAGGCAAAATCAAAACTTCCAATGTCTTAAAAAAGTGTAGCTAAGGCCAAAACATTTGAGGCAGAAGAAAAGTGTACCTAAGGCCAAAAAATTTTGAGCCAGAAGCATCTCAAATAGATATCAAACCAATGGCAGCAACACAGGCCCAAAGCTCGTTGACAAAGGCATAAGAGGATCTCCCTCACTTTTTAACATTCTGATTTCCTCTCATTTTCTGTTATGTTTCCAAGACAGAAAGTAAAGGAAAATCTCCATAATGGGACATGGACAGCTAAAAAAAACCCCAAACCAACAGTTTTTGACCATCCCCTTTTCTTTTCAAAACTAAGAAAAACAGTTTTGCCTTCAGATCTACTTTATTATGATTTAAAAATTTGCTACACTAGGCCAACTTTACTTGCACATTACCATTCTACTAACTAGCTTTAATGCAACAAGTTACCAGAAATGCTGGAATTGCAAATGGTGAGAAATCGATTGCAGCGATTTTCGATGGCCTCAGCTTATTGTGCAGGGACGAGTATTGCACAGGTGGGTCTATTAGTCCGTATCTTGTCCCATGGGTTACTATTCCCTGTTGATAAATATAATTGGAAATGTATCATTTCAGTTTTTAAGTTGAAAAAAACAACAACAAAAAAACACACATGTGCACATTGATGTATCATAAGGTCTTATACTTGATATGTATAGATGTATAAAATTGTGTATCTATAAAAAAATGTTTTATGTATAGAAGCCATTATAATCAAGGTGACTCTGACAGCTATTCTGTCTGCTAATATAATGATTCTGTATGTTTAAAGATTACATATGGTAAGCAACAAAATGTATAAAAGGGTCTGGACCAGAAAGGCACAGTTATCCCAACAACTGTGATAAATGTGAAAGGTAGCTAGATATAAAAATATAAGTAGACACAAAAAAGGAGAACGCACAATACAAAAATGTTCTATGTTATGGAATAAAGTGTAAAATATTCAGCATGAAATCAAATGAAAATCCTTCTGTACTCTGCTCTATAAAAAAACATTCAGGTAACAGCTATTGATGGGCTGCTATCACATAAGGTCAAATACACATAATACATCGCACGCTTTTGTCTGAACTCACAATATCTGTTCCAATGACAAAATGATTGGAGTCTTGTGGAAGGAACTTAATATTCATGGTTCCAGGGATTCCCAGAGTTAGGACATCTTTGTGAAAAAATCTAGAAAATAAAAAAAGAATCACTGACAAGAACAGGAAAGTGAAAAAGCAAAACTGTAATTGGCTTTTGGTCAATTTTATTTTTCATTTTTGAAAGGTTACAATTATAAATCTTGTTTTATAGCATTTAAATAATTTACCTGCCAATTTTTACCATAATAAGAAAACACAGAATTACTTTTATGCTCTAAATCCCACCTATGCATTGTGGTAACGTGTGCATTAATACAACGCATAAAACCACGCCACACCTGCCATAGTGCTACATAATAGTAATGCAGTAATCTAGGGACTGATCTGGGGAGGGGATCCAGGTAACACACAACGTAGTGTGTAAATGTAACAATCCCGTGGATGAGAGAATGGGGCATACTAATGGCTGTGCTGTACTAATGCATGGGGCTTCAGCGCACAGATAGCCCATGTAGGGCTATCAAATAAATAAACTGCAAATGATTTAAAATGCAAAGCCTTAGACTTCACAGGTAATAAACACATTTTACAGCATGATGGGACATCAGCAATTTGCCATTCACATAGCACCGCTGAGATTTCTTGTCCGGGTTGAGTGGTCCACACTGATGCAGTAAGTGGAGCTCGTGTAATGATATCACAGCGTTACTGATGGGTGCTGTGGGGAAAACATGAAGCCCTTAATAGTTCAGCTGTGCTCTCTGTATGTATCTCAAGGCTAAATGTTCAGTTTCGACTGAAGTATACCTTTTATATATGAGACTTGCAGTGATGTGGTTAAGTAGACAAATGAAAAACAAACTCTGCCCAATACTTTAAAGGGCACTTTACAGTAAATATAAATCTATCTATCTATCTATCTATATATATCTATATATATCTATATATATATATATATATATATATA